ATACAAAAGCCAGTGTGATGAAGTTCTCTAGCCTAGACCCAGATTGGCTCCACAGTCACCTGCCCCAGTTTCTGCCCTTTAGCCAACCAGAAAATTTGATTTAGAGAAACACATGTACAAATGAAGGAATGCAAGAAAAGATAATTACAGGTTCCTGTCAGGTACAGCATCAAGAAAAGAAAGCAGAGCATTCACACAGGGAGGAAGACAAAGCAAAATCTGTGAGGTTTGTGTTATCTGCTCCCTAGTAAGAGTCAGAGTAGCAGTGACTTTCTAAAAAGACATAACTGGGTGAGATATGACAAAATGACAGAACACACTTCCAGAAGCTATAATCAAGATAAAGGACTGTCCTAGTTAGGATTACTGTGGCTGTGATAAAGCACCAGGGCAAAGCCCCTTGGAAAGGAAAGGGTTTATCTGGCTTCCACATAAAACTTTATTATCAAAGGAAGTCAGGGCAGGAACTCAAGCAGGCAAGGAACCAGGAGAGAAGAGCTGATGCACAGGCCAGGGATGGGTGCTGCTTATTGGCTTGCTCCTCATGGCTTGCTCAGCCTGCTTTCTTAAAGAACCCAGGACCACCTGCCCAGGGATGGCACCATCCACAGTGGGCCTTTTTCCCTTCCCATCAATGACTAATTAAGGAAATGTCCTACAGGTTGCCTACAATCTGATCTTATGGAGGATTTTTCTCAATTGTGGTTCCCTCTTCTCTGATGACTCTAGTTTGTGTCAAGTTGACATAAAACCAGCCAGTACAACAGACCCCTTGTCAACTTGACATACAGACATTTCACTTTTCAATTAAAATCTCTATCTCATTTTTCCCCACATGGCACATTAATATTTATATAAGATATGAATTTTACTTATAAAATAACATAATTTCTATTATATGTAAAATAAATATGTATTTTAAATACATATTTATATAAATAATATATTATATATAAATTATATAATAATATATATAACACAATATAAAACACAAATAACTTTAAAAGTTCCATAATCCTTACAAATTAAACACATTAAGCTTGGTCTCTTTTTAGAAAAGCATTGAGTCTTTTTAAAGATAAAAAAAAAATCTCTTTTAAAAGTTCAAGTCTTTCAGTTGTTTGCTCTGTAAAAATCAAAATTTTAATAAATACTTCTTCCAGGAGAGAAGAACTAGGTCACAGTCACAATCTGAATTAAGCAAAACCAACCCCTAAAAGTGTAAAATAACACAATGTCCAATACCTGGGATCCACTCACAATTTTCTGGGCTCCTCTAAAAGGCTTAGGTCATTTCTCTGGCTCTGCACCCTGCAGCACACACAACCTATCTTCTAAGATCAGGTAGGCTCCATCCCACCACTGTTCTTGATGGTTGTTCCATGGTACTGGCATCTCCAAAATGCTGCAATTGGGCTACACTTTCACCAACAGTCTCTCCTAGTGTCAAGCTTCAACTTTTCTGCATGACTCCTTCAATCCTGGGCCTTCACCTACTATTGAGGCTGTACCTTCACCAATGGCCAGCATCTCAAAGTACCAAGCCTCAGCTACTCTCCAAGACCCCTTCATACATTCAAAACCAGTATCACCTGGGTGAGTCTTACACTACCAAGTCCAGCTGCCAGCTCAAGGTACAACCTTGGCACAGAGTGTCTGTGTGCTGAATGTTCTGAGTGTGTGGAAACACTTCCCAGAAGATTTCACCCTAGTGGTGTTGGTCTCTTCTTAATCACCACTATTTCTTAGCTCCAGGTGATCAGCATCTATTATTTCAGTAAAGAAAAGGTTTTAATTGAGTAGTTCTGTTCCCTCATTAATCACAGCTGATTCTTCAGTTCCTGCTGACCAGACATCACATATACTTCACATAAACACATGGTAGAGTCTTTGCTTCCCTCTGAAAGCTTGTGAGCCAGACCTCCACCATATAAACTGTTCTCAGTATTCTTATCTCCATAGCTCTGACAGAACAGTCCACTGAGCTCTCAATAATAAATGATTCTTCTAGCCCAAAGTTCCAAAGTCCTTTTACAGTTATCCCCAAAACATAACAATCAGGTCTGTCACAGCAATACCCCACTATTCAGGTACCAACTTCTGTCCAAGTTTAGGTTATTATTGCTGTGATGAAACATCATGACCAAAGCAACTTGGTCAGGAAAGGGTTTTATTTAGCTTATGCTTCCACATCACAATTCATCGTCATCAAAGGAATTTAGTACAGGACTCAAGCAGGGCAGGAACCTGGCAGCAGGAGCTGTTGCAGCAGCCAAGGAGGGGTGCTACTTATTGACTTGCTCCCCATTGCTTGCTCAGTTTGCTTTCTTATAGAACTCGGGACCGGGACCGCTATCCCACTATCCCAAGGATGGCATCATCCACTTTGGGTGTCCCTTCTCTCCTCTACCAATGAGTAATAAGAAAAAGTCCTACAGGCTTGCCTATACACTGATCTTATGGAAGCATTTACTCAATTGAGGCTCCCTCTTCTCTGATGACTCCAGCTTGTGTCAAGTTGACATAAAACCAGCCAGTATAAGTACCTTGAATAAATAAATTGGATTTAGAGAAATTTAGAGGGTTCAAAGCAATCCAAGCCACAATGCTCTCAGAGGACTACCTTGAGGTTATTTTTAAAAGAAACTACCCAATATTTTACCTTTAGCTAATTATTCATGTACACTATAAGAGAAACAATTAAATGTGTAATCCTCAGAACCATAATAAATTATTTGAAATGCCTGTTTTTAAACATTGGGAAACCATTTTTTTCTTTTCTTCCTGCATGAAAACCTCTGACAAGTCTGTTTTGTCTTCAGCGTTTTTCATGCACACAGCACAAAAAGTTGAGTTCTGTAATTTTTCTTTAAGTTTCTCATAAAATGTAAAGGTTAGAAGACAAGGATGTTCTTCATAACATTGTTTACAGGACATTTGTTCACTGGAAAACTTCCAGTGTGCCAGGCAATGTGTTTGCTATTTAAAAGAATAATTAAACACCATTAAAAGTGTGTTAGTTAATTATGGTACAGGCATATGATGAGCTATTATCTAGTTATTAAAATGATGTTTATGGAAAGTTTAATGACAGGAAAATGCTAATGATTTAGTATTGAGTGAAAATGTACTTATAAAATAGCACTTACCATATTATCTGAGATACATAAAAATGCATTAAAAATTGAGGAATATGCCAAAATACAAACAATTTGCCTTTCGGTGGCAGAAGGATGAATGCTCTTTCCTCTTGCAGTACCTTTCACCAAAAACAACAACAACAACAAAAAACATGTATTAATTTAATTATCATTAACATATATTTTTAAACCTTTGGTAAACTGGCAATATTAGAACCCGAGCCAGCTGACCTGGAAGAACTTGATTGAAGTCTGACAGGTTGTCAGACAAACTCTCTAGACACACTTCTCTGGAATGAAGCAGCTGGACTTCATGGATTGCCCGTATTGTTCCAGGTCTTTAAAATGTCTGAGTTCTCCAGAAAAACAGACAGACATATTTAAGATTTTTTTTTGTTTTATTTTGCTAATAATCAAAAGCTAGTCTTATAGGATGCCTGCTATATGCTTTTTATTGTGTATAATTTACATGCACCCATTTTAAGTTTTATTTTTTAGCAATTTTGACACATACACAAATACAATGATTATTCTAATAAAGTACAGGATATTCTCTGATTCTCAATAGTTCCCTTGCATTGTTCTTCCTTGCAGACAGTCCTGGCACCAAACAGCAACTAGACTGCCTTTTGCTGCTGTCAATTGTCTGCCTTGCAGAATTTTACACAAATCGAACGGGACAGCACGTGCTCATCTTGCCGAACTTAGGTCACCTGGAGTTTTGAGGTCTATCCTTGCTGCATATTTCTGTGTGAGAGGCTATTACAGATAATTTTAACTGTTTGTTCTTTGGCTACTTTAGAGCTCCAGTCTCCTGCACTGAGCTCTTCCCACTGCAGCTATAGTAAATGCTCTGTCTCTCTGGACTTTTTGTTTGTTGTTTGTTTTCCCACTGTGGCTCTCCTAAATGCTGTTTTTCTGGGAACAATGCATGCAACTGTGATCCTGATTCAAAAGATGCCTTGGATTTGAAATCTCTGCCTCCCAAGTGCTGGAATTATGGGCATGGAACAGGCCCAGCATAACAGAACATTTATAATAACCACAGTTGGAGCAGATCAACAGATAAAATTATAAGCAAGTTATTACATGTGGGCACAATGGAATGCTACTCAGCATTTAAAAACACGGAAAGATTGAGGTGGGAAATGGACGTAACTCCATCCCTAACCAAGAAGGTATCTGTAACTGTATCATTTACAAAGGAAAAATTAGTTGTTCCCAATGGAGACTCATTAGGTATACAAACCTTACTTGAGGAAGGCCTGATCCCAGCACAAAAGAAACTCAGCAGCATTTTTGTAGACTTTTTGTCTCATATTGCTTTGGTTTTGTCTTAATATCTTTTGCTTGTATATTACGTTTTCCATTTTTTGTGTTTCTATGGGCTTTGGTTTTGTGCTTGTTTGTGTATTTCTTGTTTTTTTTACTTAATAATTTATTATCCTAATTTTTTTTGGGGGGGGGTTGTTTGTTTGCTCACTTCTTTTTTGTTTGTTTGTTTGTTTTTGTTTTTTTCAAGACAGGGTCCCTTTGTGTAGCTTTGGAGCCTGTCCTGGAACTCACTTTGTAGACCAGGCTAGCCTCGAACTCACAGAGATCCTCCTTCTTCTGCCTCCCAAGTGCTGGGATTAAAGGCGTGCGCCACCACCGCCTGGCTGCTCACTTATTTTCTAAAGAGAAGATGTGGAATTGGGTTGGACAGAACCTCAGAGGAGTTGGCAGAGGAGAAACTGTGTATCAGAATATATTGTATGAAAAGAAGTGTTTCAATAAAATATATATACATAAAGTATTTTTAATAGTAATTTAAAAGCAAGGTTACTTACTTTGTAGTTTGAATAAAAAATCTTTATTAAAGGTAACTTCTATATGTTAGTTGAAATTACACATACATATTATTCAGTACAAATATTTTCAAAATACATTAAGTTTTAAATAAGCTTCAACAGTGTTTAATTGACATGCAGAGTTATCAATTCAAAAGCACATTTGCCTGTTTCATTTTAAGATGAATGCATTTTTATAATACTTGTTATATATGTCAAAGGAAGTATTACATTGGTTAAAGCAATCAGGAAACTGAAATGAATATTTATTACACAAAAACTCACATACTTTAAATTAAGTACCAAATTCCTACTGTGTAGCCTCCCGCTAGCCACTGGTGGAAACCTTTTTTGAAACTCAAATAGTTATAAATAAAAATTGTTTCAGTTTTTCCTTTCATTTGAAACTCAAGTCCTGAACACAGAATAAGATATGGTCTCCGCTCCATGGGTTTCACAATGCCAGACTAATGTTCATTCTATTCAACTCTATATTATATCACACACTTGGTAAAGGCTTGTTCACTACTGTTGAGATAGAATCCTGTGCCCTGATAGACTACTGACAGAAAGTTCACAGTCCTTTGAAAAAACAAGGCCTTGAGCATATTGGTAGGCCAAAAAAAAAAAACCAAAAAACAAACAAACAAACAAAACACACACACACACACACACACACACACACACACACACACACACACACACCTGTCATAAAGCAAGAGTTCTGTGTGGAGTGGAATTCTTATCATGGACTGTCTTTTTCTAGTTACTACTTAGTAAAGCTTGCCAGAAACAGCACTCCAATGCTATGTATAACCCCGTGCAATTCTGTAACATTAGCACAATATTTGAAATGCTCTAAACATCTGTTGAGTGGTACGGCAAATTATGGCACAGCAAATAAAATATGTATGTGAGACAAAACATTTTAGGATATCAATAACTGTTTGTGATTTATAAATATCTATGGCCTTCATATTCATAAGGAAATGTTCTTAGAAATCTGACCACTATAACTGTTTTTTTATGATTTTTCTAAATTTCTCCCTGGGGGCAAAATTTTGGTTTGTGCATAAGAAAGAATATAATATACTATAAGAATTCACTTATTTGGATAAAAGGGAATATTATATTAGAAATATAGTATATCTCAAATTGAACTAACAACTGAATTATTCTATTCAATAAATGTTTAAACACCTACTATGTGTCATTCTGTGAAGACGTTTGAATTATTCATAGATGTCCTCAGAACACATAGATCTTACATTCTAATAGAGGATTCACTGTGATTGAGGTGGTCGAAGATAAAGTTAGAAAATGTACAAATGAGTTAATATTCAATATTTCTGGTGATATTATCCTGTATTCACTTTTAGCCTAGATATTTTCAGCTGATGATATTGCAACTTAAAACTTCAAACAATTCATGCTAGCAGGGTAATACTTAAATTCAGATTATTCTACTTATTTTTGTTAGGTGAAAAAAAGCATGAGAAAACAGCATCTAATCTCAAAATTGATAACAAAAATGGAAAGACAGTGAATAGGAAAAAACTTTCAGAAGGAAGTACTTACTTATATGTAAGGCCTTGGGATTGTTTGCTTTGTATCTCTCTATATGGAGAATGTAGCTGACAAAGACCCACAACTATTGCACTGTAAAATCTTCTGCGACATTGACATGGTCCTAACCATTACTCTCCACCAGTGATGGAGCAAGGCAGGGGGATTAAATGATGAGTTTTTCAGAAAGAGGAGATGTTCTGACGTCCATTTTTATCTTGCAGAAATACTGGCACCCTGGCTGAAACCTTCTCATCATCCTTGTCAGAGGCACTTTCTCTCTGGTGATCACTTATGTTGTGGTCTGAAGGTGCTCCCAATCTTTTCAGCTCACTCATACTTCTTTTGTTGTGGTCTGAAGGTGCTCCCAATCTTTTCAGCTCACTCATACTTCTTTTGTTGCTAGAAAAAAAAAAAGACCTTCCATGTTCAATGTTTAATTTCATTTTGGAGTCTACTTCTTGTATACTTGGTACAAAGATAGATTTGTGCAAATGAGAAATAGTGGAGGATTGAACTAGCTCCCTCACTATGCCCCATGTAAGGTTATTTGTGTAAGTTATAGTTCTCTACAATAACAGAACTTATAGAAGGAATATATATAAATACGTATATATACATGGAGGGTTATTAGATATCCAGCTTTACCTAGCTACCTTACTGTTTTCTTTCACACATGTGTCTCCTAGTAAAAATCCTTGAATATTTTATCCTCTTTTATTGGCTGCTTTTTGAGAGTCTCTGCAATATCCTTATATAGTATTAGAGTTAAGTTATATCCATACTTCCCAGTCTCTCACTTTACATGGCCTGGAAAGGGTAGAAAACTAGTAAAAAATATTGAAAGCATAAGGAAAATGAGTGTGGGCTACCAAAAGAAGATGCGACAATGCATTTTAAGGAAACCAAAGTAGTGCCGTATCATCTGTGCAACTGTTTGCTCTATAGCTGACTATTAGCAATAAGCAGTTTTAGTATTTTTGCTTGTCAATGAAATATTCACAGCCTAACTATGAAGGCAGGTTAAGATTCATTTCATGGGGTGTTGCAAGCAAAAGACAGTGAATTTTTTTAATTCTAACTGTCATGCTTTTTAAATTTTATTTAAATAATATTTTTCCATTTATTTTACATGCTGACCACAGTTTCCCCCGCCTCCGCCTCCTATCTTCTCAATACTCGCCCTTCCATCTGTCCCCCTTCCCTTCCACTCCTCCATATCTCTCTCTCTCTCTCTCTCTCTCTCTCTCTCTCTCTCTCTCTCTCTCTCTCGACTGTTAAAGGATTAAGTTTATTTCAGAACAGACCAATAGTAGCCACTCACATCCGTTCAGTCCCATGGATCTGAGTGACTTCATTCTGGAAGTCACCAGACCATGCAAACAAGTTGATCATTCAGCTTGCTCTTCATTGAAAATGTTCTCTGGTTTCCTCAAACACCAGCTTGAGGCCTTGTCTTAGCCCACTGACACACATTTAAAAACTGTACCCAACGGGCTAGAGAGATGGCTCAGAGGTTAAGAGCACTGACTGCTCTTCCAGAGGTCCTGAGTTCAATTCCCAGCAACCACATTGTGGTTCACAACCACTTGTATTGAGATCCGGCGCCCTCTTCTGGCCTTCAGGGACACATGCAGGCAGAACAAATCTTTCTGCTCTGTCTTCTGCAATGATCACCATGCCTTAGATGTGGAAGTGTTTTGTAGATGGATTCACTGGATCTGGGTTCCACAACTCCACATCCTGATTGGCTATGGTTTTCTGTGGTGGTCTTTTTTTTAAAGTGTGAAGGGAGAGGGAATTTATATTCCATATGAACACCTGGCAAAGCCCACCCGTCTTTGAGTTCCTTAGCATTACCATCACCCCCCCAACACACACACACACTTCTCACTGCTCACACCTACCTTGTAAGGGCTTCCTCCCACCTACTATCTGTCTGACTTCCTCCTTTCTTCTTTGTCATCTCCACTCATTTTCATAACAATGTCTGGCAATAGTTTAAAATGCTTCTAAGAATATATGTTTTATTTTCATTATTACTGACATTAGAACGGCTTTCTGAGTGGTCACAAATGGCACTGAGCTGCCCTAGAGCTGAGAGTTCATGCCTTTGGAAGGCTTCAAGCAAAGGTCTTCTGTCTCCTTTAGCTTTCATTTTCAATGGCTGTGTAAAACTCTTAGATCCCCCTTTGAAGAATGAAAATGACTATCCTGGAGTGCTTTGGTAGCACTGGAGAGAACCAATGATTTCTGAACATATTTTAATCAGGTTATCGTTTTGTTTACATTTCCTAAGTTTCTTCTTACACAAAAAAACAAAGATAAGCTTCAATCTGTCAGTATTGTTACCCACTCCAAATCATCAATGTCAAAAATATTGCTACTTTTTATACTTATAAAATCTTTTCCTTTCAGTCCTCTTTCTGTTGTACTTGTGTTGGGAATATTCTGATCCCAAACTATGAAAGTTTTAGTGAATTTTTTTAACTAAATTACCACAAAATGTTTCCAAGGCTAATATTTTACTGTTAGGAAAAGTAAAGTGTTAGAAATCATTCCTCCCCAGATCTTCATCAAAAGAAACAGAAAACACAAGAAAAAGAGAAAGTGCATTTTCATCCATGAAGCTCCACTTTTATTCATTGTTCCCATGCATCTGCACTTACATTTTGTGAGCTCCACTTAAGGTTTAGTGGAAAGGACTCTCTGCAATAAACAAATGATGCTGGAACCCAGTCATAATTCATCTCCTTCTCCAGATATCACTGTTTCCCAAGAGAAACTCCAAAAGGAAATATCTAGGTATTTTTACTTTTGCAGAAAGTGTAGTGAGAACAGAACCTGCTTTTTAAACTACTGTGAGTTATTTTCATTTGCTAAATGTGGGCCTTTTTCTTTTACAAACTTAATAATTATTAATGCAACAAGAGATAACATCCAGTGCCCTATGTTTAAAAAAATCCTTCACCTCTTATATAAATGTTTTCAGACTTACATCAAGATTATTTTAATGTATGGAAATAGCTTATCAAATCAAATTAGGTGGAATCAGTAATACTAACACTCACAAACACATATACATAAGCCATTCTAAATATGCCACTAAATATATTATGCATACATCTTTGTTTTAGTTAGGATTTCTATTGCTGTGAAGAGACACCATGACCATGGTAACTCTTATAAGGGAAAATATTTAATTTGAGGGTTTACAGTTCAGATATTTAGTCCATCATCACCATGGTGGGACATGGTGGCATGTAAGCAGACATGGTACTGGAGAAGGAGATGAGCATTTTACATCTTGATATGCAGGCAACAGGAAGTGAGCTGTCCTCCCTGGGTGTAGCTTGAGCATAGGAAGGAGACCTCAAAGCCCACCTGCACAATGACACACTTCCTCCAACAAGGCCACACCCACTCCAATAAGGGCACACCTCCCATTAGTGCCACTCCCTTTGGGGGACATTTTCTTTCAAACCACCAAAAGCTGTATATCTGCATATGTATCATATATATGATTTTAAGGTCCCAAATTATGGAATGTTTTTCAACATGTAATAACTATGTATTCTGAAGTTTTCAACTGTAGATAATAGACCCCTTGTATGTTTCCTTTTTATTTCTTTTTAAGTCATGCAAATACATTACATAGAGAACAATTTAGCGTAAGAACAATTTCCTTTGCATTGACTTCTTGATTTTTCCATGAAATTAAGCCTTGTGTTACTTTTTGACCATCCCTTGACATTCCACATAGTACTGACACTTTTTTCTGAAATAATTATTGGGCCTATAATTTGTCTATACCTTCGATCAAAATATATGTTCTATGAAAATCTATAATGTGCATGTTATGCTTTAACCTTTTAAGTGTTTTTCCTTGCATGTCTATTCTAAAATCCTACATTCTCAGAAAGCTGTATACTTCATTGAGTGAATGATTAATTCAGCTTTTTTAAAAATAGCTTTTATTTGCCCAAATTAAGCACTGGTATATTTCTGCATAAAGAAGAATAAGGCCTTATAATAAGAAATTCCTCGTTCCTCACTTTCAAATCACCTTGGAACAAAATTAAAGTAGTACACATAAAACAAGCACCTGATTACAAGAGGAAGTTTCAACCAGTTTCAGTACATTGCAAGAGGGTGGTGGGCTGGGCAGTAACTGCAGTGCTGGATGTCAAGAGAAAGTTTAAGTATATGGCTTACTCCTCTCTAGTAAGATAATCGAGATATGTATAAAATCACAATGGGAGAAAGGAATGAGAGGGCTTAGAATTTGGAAATTTAATGGATGTCTCAAAAAACGTGAGCCAAGTAGAAAAAGAGAGATATCAAAAGATGGATATTGAAGGGAAAATGAAGTAGCTTAGCTAGAAACAAGAAGGATGTTCATTCTGTAGAATCACAGAGGACTGGGGTCTCATAGTCTGGGAAACGTCAGGAAACAGGCAGTTGGAGGAAGAATGGGTGATGAAAATGTGTTACTGGAAGGTGACAGAATAAACAGGCATTGCCCAGAACATAGACCTCCATGCTCTATCAATTTAGTTCTAGCCTTCTAGGCAGACAAAAAGAGATCCTTTGGTGTGGTTGCAGTGAGGGAAAACAAACTTTAGCTTGAGGTATTATCTTCATAAAAAAAAAATGGGAAGAATGAAGACAGTTTCTTTATTTTAGGTGATTTTAAACTAAACAATCTTTGTTGCGCAATACCCTAAGGAAAATGTTAATAAAATTGAAGAGTTTACCGTTTTTGCTGCCTTCTGTGTTACAAATTGTCACTCTTGAAACTGCTTCATGAAACAGCATTTGAAGTCAGCAAAGACTTCCCTAATTAAAACTCTTATGACAAAGGTTTGTTTCCTTTTTGCTTCCCTCTCATACACCTCAATAGTTGACTCCTGCTTTTCTCTTTTTAAGGACTCATTTATCTGTATTTTATGTGTGTATGTGTGTCTGCCAGTATGTCTATAGAGACACCATCCATGCATATGCTGGTGCATGTGGGGACCAAAAGAGGGTATCAGATCTCCTAGAACTAGAGCTCCAAGCAATTGTGAGCTACTTGCTGTGGATGCTGAGAACAGAGCAAAGGTTTTCTGCAAGGGAGGCAAGTACTCTTACCATTGAGCCCTCTCCCCACCCCCTCCTTTATTAATGCCCTTTTCACTTGACTGTTTATCTCTTGTCTTGCTGCCTGGTCTTTAGTGTCTGCATCTGGATGCTACTCTGCTTATGCATCTTCATGGGAGCTTCTTTTGATCAGTACAGAAGTAGCTCTGTAGCCGAACCCTCCTCACAGATGGACTAATGTAGCCCAGATCAACACAAAGAACGGTGGGGAAAATATTTCAAGCTATGACATTTTGAGGAGTTTTGTTTCACACTAATAT